GCAGTAATTAACTAATCTAGATCTGTTTCTAATCTTAGGTGAATGATGCCAGTAGAATTAGGCCAAAGGCAGAGTATTGCTTTGGTAGGTTCAATATTTATTACATGGTAACATAGAATGGTAATAATAGAAATAATAGAGTGAAGTTGTGTTACTTTAGCGTTTGCTAAAATTTAACTTTAGTAGTTTTAGCAGTATTAGCAGTATAATAAGGTGATTTTTGAAGTGTGAATATTGATACCTTGTAGCATGTACATATTTAAAACTGGAACATAACAAAAGACCACCTACCCATAGCAGCCACCTCTATATAAGGACCACCTACCAATAATAACCACCTCTATATTAGGACCACCTACCCATAGTAACCACCTCTATATAAGGACCACCTACCCATAGTAATCACCTTTATATAAGGACCACCTACCAATAATAACCACCTTTATATAAGGACCACCTACCCATAGCAGCCACCTCTATATAAGGACCACCTACCCATAGTAACCACCTCTATATAAGGACCACCTACCAATAATAACCACCTCTATATTAGGACCACCTACCCACAGTAATCACCTTTATATAAGGACCACCTACCAATAATAACCACCTTTATATAAGGACCACCTACCCATAGCAGCCACCTCTATATAAGGACCACCTACCCATAGTAACCACCTCTATATAAGGACCACCTACCCATAGCAGCCACCTCTATATAAGGACCACCTACCCATAGTAACCACCTCTATATAAGGACCACCTACCAATAGTAATCACCTTTATATAAGGACCACCTACCCACAGTAATCACCTTTATATAAGGACCACCTACCCATAGTAACCACCTTTATATAAGAACCACCTACCCATAGTAACCACCTCTATATAAGGACCACCTACCAATAGTAATCACCTTCATATAAGGACCACCTACCCATAGTAACCACCTCTTTATAAGGACCACCTACCCATAGCAGCCACCTCTATATAAGGACCACCTACCAATAGTAACCACCTCTATATAAGGACCACCTACCAATAGTAACCACCTCCATATAAGGACCACCTACCCATAAACCACCTCTATATATGGACCACCTACACATAGTAATCACCTCTATATAAGGACCACCTACCAATAGTAACCACCTTTATATAAGGACCATCTACCAATAGCAACCACCTCTATATAAGGACCACCTACCCATAAACCACCTCTATATAAGGACCACCTACACATAGTAATCACCTCTATATAAGGACCATCTACCAATAGCAACCACCTCTATATAAGGACCACCTACCCATAGCAGCCACCTCTATATAAGGAACACCTACCCATAAACCACCTCTATATAAGGACGACCTACCCATAAACCACCTCTATATAAAGACCACCTACCCATAGCAGCCACCTCTATATAAGGACCATCTACCAATAGCAACCACCTCTATATAAGGACCACCTACCCATAGCAGCCACCTCTATATAAGGACCACCTACCCATAAACCACCTCTATATAAGGACCACCTACCCATAAACCACCTCTATATATGGACCACCTACCCATAGCAGCCACCTCTATATAAGGACCACCTACCCATAAACCACCTCTATATAAGGACCACCTACCCATAAACCACCTCTATATATGGACCACCTACCCATAGCAGCCACCTCTATATATGGACCACCTACCCATAGTAATCACCTGTATATAAGGACCACCTACCGATAGTAAGCACCATTATAAAAAGACCCCTTGCCCATAGTTTTGGCATCATGGACATTTGAAATTTTTGGCCAAAACCTAAAAGCAATATCTGACACTCTCTGCATGAACCAAAATAATGATAAAATTTCACAAAATATAAAAATATTTGCACAGAATTTTTGGTTGGAAAAAAAAAATATTAGGCACTCAAAGAATTCAAATCAGTTTGGGACTCATATGGCAGATGCCAAGTACCAGGTAATATCACTCTCTGATTATGATTTTGTAAGTTGAGTTGGTTTTAATATTTTGTTTATTTGACAGTGATAAATGGATGTGATAGAAGGTACTATTTGCAAGCCAATGATGCACAAGACATGATGGAATGGATAGATAAATTAAATGACTCCTGTAAAATTATTGTAAGTATTGAAAATTGTCTGTGATTTCATGCTTTTCATGTAAAATTGCAGTCATTTAAGTTTCCCACTTTGCGAACATGTGAAACAGACTGTAAAAAATTGATATTTCTTTTGCTAAAAAATATGAAATATAAAAAGTAGATATCCTATCTTGTTTTATCAACACATTTCATTTCGTATGTACTCAACCCTTAGACAAAATTACCTACCTAGCCTACAACATATGTATAATTCAAGCCAACTAACTCACCCAGCGACTATTTACCCTTAATTTAAGAGGTTCACTCAAATTTATAGTCAGCAGTTAGTTTCTCATTACCCAACCGCCATCTCAACATTTTATGGTATATACATAATTTATCGGTTGAATTATGGTACCTCACATATTTGCGAAGTGTGAATGCAGCTTTTATAATTAAGTCCAGGGTTTCTCGCATAAATATTGATGCACAATTCTATAAATTGTCAGTATTGTTTTCAATTTTAAAAATTTAACATGTCATTATATGAACTTTCGACAAAATAATTTTTGCAAATCATAATCTGTAAGCACTTTAGCTTACTGTTTTGGCGAAAGCGAAAATTGCTGAGGACAAATATGCGGTTGATTGATCATCAAGGGGTATCTGGTTGGTTGTGAAGCGGTTATTATAAAGTAATCATTACTTCTACATGGTTTTAAATGTAAGAAATTTATAATGATTGTGGATGAACAGTGTATAATTCCCTATAACAAAACTAATTTGATAGACTGAAACGCATGATTTATCTCCCTTTACATGTTGTTTACAGTACTGTAAAGTACATGTATGTTCACTTGCAGTATATTTTCGCTATTTTTAGGGTGTGAATCAGTGAAAAATATAATTCAAGCAAAAATACTTTTTTTCCCTGGGTGTAAAACATTTAACTCATCAGAATTCAGTGAAAATAAATTCCATACAAAACACCCAATATGTCTTTTCAGTGAAAATTAATTGTAGATTAAAGTATTTTACAGTATATGATTAATAGCTATACTCATACTGAGATTACTACAGCACTTACTGATCTGTCCTCTATAAGGTCAATCAGATGAGGGGATAATCCAGTGATAAATAACCTATTAAACACTAAAGTTCACTTTTTTGACTTCTCGCAATTATACACTTATGAGGCAATAAAAAAATGTACTGTATGTCCATTTGTGGCTGATCTGCACTGGCTCGGAAGATGAATTCTGATTGGCTAAAAAAACAAAAAAACTTGTGGCGTTGAATGCATGTTCATTGTCAGTATTGTTATGCAAATTCAAACTAGCTAATCATTTACAACCTTCCGAGCCAGTGCAGATTAGCCCTCCATTTGGTTCACAAAGAAATTAAAAAAAAAAAACATTGTCAGAGCTTGAAATTAACGGTAGCCCAAGGCGCACAGAATACCATCTCTTTTCTTTTTTTTGGGGGGGGGAGGGGTTACATGTGCCATTGCTAAAAATTAGTGGCCCAACTAGACTACTGTAAATTTACAAAACAAAATTCTGTTCTGTTTGTTTATCCTTAAAGGACTCAATACACAGGACATCGTTCATTAAATAAAGATTTAAAGTTGGTCAATTTTATTCATTCCTATTGATGATTTCAACTACAGGTACTAACAAATGTGGTATATGGTACTAAAAATTACTATAGGCTACTAGTTTTTAAAATGGTAGCCACAGGGGCTTCCAAATGTAATTGTTATTTTACAGTCCTGTACATCCCAAACATCTACGTGTTTTATCCAAATATTAATAACTGTTATTGGTTTATTTTAGGTTAAAAAAGTGTTTCTGTGAAAATTGTTTATTGAAACTGAAATATTCTGCAATTCTACAATTTATGAATTATTTTAAATTTTTTTAAATTCTGAAAAAAAAAAACTATGGCATCTGTGGTAACCAGAAACATGAACATTTTATTGGGCTTTATTTAGATTCTTTGCAGTTACCATGTCTTCATTACTTTTCAATGAAACTTGGTACATAGATGCTCTAGAACAATCAAATGACCTGATTAATTTTAAGTAAAAATGTGATAATATTAATCAACTAATTTGCATAATTAGTTAATTTTTGGCTTTTACACTGATATTGCAAGTACTAATTATTCCATTTCAATAAATCTTGGTACATAGATGTTCTAGGACAATGCACTGACCTGATTAGTTTTGGGTTAAAATCAGTGCATATTAATTGCCTAATTTACATAATTAGTCCATTTTCAGCTTTTACACTGATATCCCATGTACTAATTATTCCATTTCAATGGAACTTGGCACATTGATGCTCCAGAACAGTGCACAGACCCGCTCAGTTATGGGTTAACATCATATCGTATGAATTACCTATTTGCAGAAATCATAATTTTTGGTTCTAATCACATTTCAATGAAACTTTGTACATAGATGGACTGTGACAGTACTTATCTTAATTTAATGAATCCTGGTAAATATTTACTCTAACACAATGTGATGATCAAATTAGTTTTAGGTTTATATACATCTATAATAATTACCTAATTTGCATAATAATTTACTTTTCAGCTTTCCACTAATTTAGTTAGGATTAATCATCGCATTATAATGAAACTTTGTACATGTGCACCCTGAAACAATATAGGTACAGACCTAAATCTATGCATAATAATTGCTTAATTTACATAATAATTCATTTGGTTCATTGAGGTAATCTACAGACATGATTAGTTTATTAACCTATTTCTGATATCTAAAAAAATCAGATTTAAATTGAATTCATCACAGAGGTGGTCTGGAACTAATTAGACTAAAAACCGTGGATGAAAAATCTAATGTATTTTCTGTATGTATTATAAATTTTGATAATGTGAATCCCATTTTTCCATGTTATGCATCTCAAATAGCAGACAAAAATTCGAAGCTTCTTGTTTGAAAAGCAAAATTTTGAGTTAAATTTTAATGTGTCTCCAATACTCTCAGCACACGGCAGTTCTTTCTAAGCTTTCTTTGATTCTGTATCTACATAGCAAAACTCAGTGATCTCTTTGCATTATAAACACAAATTAATCTCCACCAACAGCTTGCTCTCCGCACTTGGGCTCCAGGTGACTATGGGTAAAAATAAACTTCAAACTGCAAACTTTATCAAAGTTATTTCAAATATTGTGACAGGAAAAGCCTCGAATAATAATTACTTCCTGGTTCATGTGACTAACGGATCTCTGTTCTCCTCTTACAATGTTTTTTTTTTTACTCTCATCATTTCCTGTAAAGGTTCCCCCAGCAAGCACCATGTCTCAAGATGATTCCACCTTCAGACCGGGTAGATCTAATAGTGAAAAGACAATTAGCTATAAAACCGAGGTGATTGGCGGAGTAGTTGTTAGAACGCCGATTCATGTAAGTACATTAGTTGGATGTTTTGAAAACAGAGAAGTCATACTTTTAGCACATGTGTAGGAGACAGCATGCGGAAATAAATTGAAAAATCATATATTGATCTGACAGTATTATTGCTTTGTTTATATATATATATATATATATATATATATATATATATATACTTATACATGACTCTTTAAGGTCATACATCCTGGTACTTTTGAGGGGGTATGCCAATGATAATTTCTCATTTAAAAAAAAAAAATAATGTAGCAGTTGTCAATAAGAAAAAAATTTAGTTCAATATTTTAAGTTTTGAAACTTTGTACACCCTTATTAACCTGAATATACAATGAAGCTCCACTTTGTATGAAAAGTAGATGCAAATACTATTTATTAGTTTGTTTTTGGTTTATATGCTACTAATTTGCATAATGACTTACTAGTACATTCATTTCTGTGTCTGAAGGTGTTATAAATACATATCCTGTTTATAGTGATACGTCTGTGTAACTTCTCTGTTTGCATCCAAAAATGTTTGTCATGTGGTTGCATCAGTGCAATCTCTTGCTGTGTTCTAGTACAGTCGGACGCATATCTACAAGGTCACTATTATTAAAGCAACGATGGTCCCAAAAAATTACACTGTTACATTTCAGAGGTGTGTCTGTGACCACAATAATTCATATTTTACCATTACAGCACAAAATAAACACAATTTATAATTTTGATGCACTTCTATTGGAGATTTGCATTTAATAGGGTAAATATGGTGATTGGAACTCTCCCTATATTGTCTCATGTTTATAAATTTATATTCAATATGACAATATTCATATTTATATATCATATATTAGTTGCTTTCCCTCTATTACATTGTAGTTGACCACCTGATTATTACAATAAAACTATGAATTCTCTCCTCATTGACAAAAAATACAAGTACCAGTACTTGCACCTTTATAGTGTGACTCAGTTTTATTACTATAGTGGCGTTCATGTTAAAGATCTTGGCACGTGTCAAGACACAGGACCGAGTCGGCACATGACGATATTTGTGTGTGAATAGTCGGGACCGAGTCGGCACATGCCGAAAAAACTCGATCTCGGGACTGAAACTCGGTCCTCGGTAGTAAATTTAAGAGAACATAAGCTGATTCATAACTAGTATGAAATGACAATGACAGGAAATGCAGATATACTAGTATATGGTCGGATGCTGTAGTAAAGAATGAAACTGTCGTTGTTGCTGCAACCGCTATTTTCTTGCAATGCTACATTGACATGAAAATAATTGTTTTTTGAATCTTCTTTGCCGTTCATGTGCACGATGACTTGTAATAAATACCATAACAACAAATGAATATAATTTTAATTTTACATGTACTAGTATCTTCATATCATTCTATAATTATGTTCTCATGATGAAAGCAGTTTATGTACCATTCAAAAACTATATTTAAAATGTTTTCTTTCAATGATATATCTACTTTTCATAAAAATTAATTGGAAGAATTATGGAAAATAATTTAAAGATTGACATGAATGCAATGTTTATAGCTCCACATTAGTGGCAATGATTGTAAGATTAATTGACGAATATCTGGTTATTTTATTTCAGACTGGTGACAGTGATAGTGATAGTAGTGATGGCACTGGTCACACCAACACACTGCCAGCTAGATTGTCCTCTCCATCAAATCTACACAGGCGACGATCTGGATGTATGCCTATCAAGCAAGGATTCTGTGTCAAACAAGGAGCTGTGGTAAGATCATTAATCTTATTACAGTAACACCTATCCAGTTGTTCTATCGCAGTACATATAATACTTTCCTCGTTCCAATCTTACCTGCAGTTGGACATTGTCATCAAAGCTATGTTGCTTCAAACTCCAAAACAATAACATTGATTTACTCAGCTAAATTGCTGACTTGTCATGCGTCTCTTAAGATGTTGTCATTTTGGGTGTTCGGAACAATATGGCGGTGACATTAAAAATATTTACCAGATTTTGTGATTATAAAACAGAAGTTTTGACTAAAAATAAATAAAAGGTTGTTGCAAATAAAAAAAACAGGAACACTGACATTAAATGTAAAAATCTGAGAGAGAACTACTCAACACACATACAATGTAAATATAATTGCATTGCATTGGAAAAAAAAGTTTAAAGTTATAGATTTTGCTGAAAATAAACAAAAATATTTATTAAAAAGCCCTGATCCACTCATGCACACCTTTCCAACAAATATTATTACTGACCCATTCTAGATATTACTTAAATCATATATACTCTAAACTGTGTCTCCTGCATGTCATGACCATAATAGGCCAGGAAAAAAAAATGAGGCGATTTTTTTTTTTTTGAATACTGAGCTAAAATGGGTGAAATTTGAGACAAGTGCAAGTGCAAGTACAAGCGCATTTTGGAATGCTTTAGAAGAAAAAAAAACATTCAAGGCGCATAGTTCAAAATGATGTGTGCAGAAACGAGAAACAGAGATATTTTTTTTCTCAGCCATACCGCATGTCAGTTTAACAGTTTATGAGTAGATTCCCCCAATAAGCTATTGAAATAATATCTGTAGATATTTCATGTTCCTAGTGGTATTATGAATACTTTTTGTTGTCATATCATACTTACCACATGGAGATATGTCAAGTTCACTGATAAAAACAAATCTTGCTGTTAAAATACACGCATTGTTAAAAGTGTACTTTATGGTGTAGTATGGTCACTGAGAGCAGGAGAGTTGTGTTGCAATCTTTCCATTGTATCATGTCCACTGTTCCCCTTCACCTAGGTAACCATGGTATGAAACATTCCAGAAAATCTGCCATATCATTATTTGTTATGACTTGAAAATAATGTGATTAATTCTCTCTGAATTATTTGGACTAATGTTTGACTGACTAATATCAGTAACATATCTTGCATGACCCATATTTCACAAGGTCATTATTTTCAGAGGACAGCCCCAAATGTAAATTCCCATGCCATAGCTGTTACTAGTTATACTGTTAATTGGAACCCACCCTATATTGTCCTATGGATATAAATCCATGAATGTAACTGACATAATCTGATTGAAGTAAGGTGGTTATTAAGTGACAGCCGTATCCTTTGATCGTTATGTCAGTAAAAGTATCATGCCAAGTTTACAGTCGTTCTGAGAATTATTCGGACAGTCATTTAGCAAATATATCTTGGAACTTTTCAAAACACTTGGGTCATTTCCAATCTAGACTTGATGGCAGCGTTGTATTGGCACGCCAACAATTTGGATCATTCCATTATTTTGCTAGATGCGTGTAAACGCTGTTTTCAAAAAAACAAAACACGTTGGTTTACCATATATTAACAGGTTATATGTTGTATATGCATTCAAAATGTTATTTCAAATTGTTATAACCATCTGAGTCCACCCGACAAAGCGCAACTTACAAAAGTAATTAAAAGTGTTGAGTATTAAACCCCAGGTCTTAATGAACTCTTCGTTGGCGGGAAGGCTAAAAGTAAAGTTTTTTAGCATTGGAGACACTGCAGTTTCACGACAGTTTTTGGTCAAACTAAAGGTTGTTTTTACATTACTGGTGCATTATGTATCAAGTTCAGATTTTGTACCGAGCTGGGAGAGTACATCAGAGATACACTGACGGAAAACTTGATCATAACGGTTTGATGGACTTTGTCAAATCAAAAGTGCCTTCCTTGAGCGAATCACTTTTTCAACTGAAAAATGACGAGGGTATGACGACCGACAGGCTAACAAAGTGTGCATAGCTTGGGCTAAGTGCCTAAAATGCAATTTTATTCAATGTTCATTTGGAAGATTTACTATTATACTATTCTTCTTTGTATGCCATTTCCAACATGACATTCAATGCAAGCACATTGTTAAAAATAACTGATGATGAGATGCTCTGCTGCTTTCTGTTATTCTGCAATCTGCCCTTTCTGAATTTGTTTCAGTATTATTTAAGAAGCATACATGTATACCTTACTAGTTACTGCTCCGAGTAATCATAGTTAAAATGACTGAAGATTTTTGTTTTGGAATATTTTAGCCCATGCTGACCACTGTTTCCTCCTGTGCATGAACACAATTGGATCTATCCAAATAATGCTATCTAATAATGGCATCTCGGTAGTTTGTTAAAATACCGACACTGTACTATATTTAGAAGAAGGGCAGTGTAATGGTCTGTAGCCTTGGTTACACTTCCCTTTCCTGGATTTGTTTCATAAGCACAGAAATATTTAGAAATATAACATGTAATATGTAGTTTGATTAAGTTTATTCGTGGGAAACATAGAACACTGTTACCATTACTTCTCCATCTGTAGGTTTCCTTTTAATTCTGAGTTGAGATAATCGTGGGAAGTTTCATCGCTGTAGTGATCATATTAAATGTTATAAATATTGAAATCATTATTTTGGCTCTCAAACCTAGAAACCTAGTAGCTAACTTACCCAAGTTTTAGTACAAATGTAGAGTTGAAAATCTACACTGTGATCTAAATCCGTAAAGATCATAAATTATTGTGTACATGATTATTTGCAATGATTGTAAAAAACACAAAAATGTTTTTCAACTTTTTTCTTTATTTTTTGCAAATTTCATGACACTGCTTGGAAATGTGTGTTAACATCAATTAAAAAAAAAAGTATAACAGATGATCTTTCATGGCATGTATTGAATTGAAACAAAAAAATGAATATTCCCTTTTTCTTACCGGTATATTTACCCAATTACTGGGAGGCAATAAAGCATTGTAAATTGTCTATGAAAGCCTTATTGTAAGTAACTAAGTTTAGTTACTGGCTGAACCATCATGGCAGTAATTTCAGTATATATAAATAATTTTGGTAGTGCACTTCAAAGTCAAAATTGTCAAAAAAACAGAGAAGCCATAGGATCCATGGTTAGGACCTGCAATAATTGTTGAATGTTGAGAGCCACAAGGCCCATGCTTCTTCACCTATGCCTCCCAGAACAATGCTTGACTTTCTACCTATGATTATACCTCTTTTTACCTACTACCTCTACTTTATGTTTCTATTAGATGAAAAACTGGAAAAGAAGATTTTTTATTTTGGATGATCATGGGTTCTCTTATTATAAAAATGAAAATGTAAGTAATGTTTTATATGTTCTCATCATGCTGAAGAAAAGATTGTTAATTGAAACCATAATTGCAGTATTTGTTATTCTTGTTATTGCATTACTGTAAAATTCTTTATTTTAGCTTGAATTAATTGTTGCTGAAAAGACATTAGGGTGTTTTGTATGGAATTTATTTTCACTGATTTTTGACAAGTTGAAAGTAAAATATATAAAAAAAAATATATATAATCAATTCCAAGCGAAAATAAAGTATTCTACTGTATATCATTTGTTGTTTGTTAATTTGTTTGCAGGATAAAGATGCGATAAGGACGATAGCAATCAGAGATATGTTAGATTGTAAAGAGTCAACATTAGGGTATGGAAAACTCCTATTGTATAATGTGTGCTTTCTTCATACCAAATGCTATTTTGATGCAAGAATGTCTATTATTGGCAATTTTCTGACTTTCATTCATACATTCCACCGTACGCTAGTTATATTATTACATCGAACTATAGCAATACAATGTGGATCGGTCCATTACTTGATGATGTTTAGAAAAATTGTTGGCTACATTCCCTTTGTTAGCTCGG